CCTTCTCATCAATCTTCCCCTGGACCAGGAGCTTCTCCATGCAGGGATCCCAGGTCCAAAGGACACGCTGTGCTCCCAGCACTGCTTTCTTGGTGGTATGAGGTCCCTCCTCTCCGCTTGCTTCCCTTTCCTTTATCTCTTGTAAGAGAAAAGGTGTTGCAGGCCACACTCCAGGGAAACTCCCTTTACAATGGATCAGGGATGTGACTTTAGTAAGGGTGTTACAATCCCACCCTAATCCTCTTTAACATAAGATTACAATCACAGAATGGAGGATAACCACACAATACTGAGAATCATGGCCCAGTCAAATTGATACACACATTTTTGGGGAGACATAATTCAATCCATGACACTTGGTAAAGTAGAGTGTCAGCTAAAAGAGGAAGAAGACCCTTGACGAGATGGATTGATACAGTGGTTGCAGCAGTGGGCTCAAACATAACAACTATTGTGAAGATGGCGCAGGACTGGGCAGTGTTTAGTTCTGTTGTATATAAGGTTACTATGAGTCAGAACTGACTCAACTGCACCTAACAACGATGTAGACATTTTATACAATAGAGAACTTTCTCTTCTCCTCCACTTATTTAACATTTAACAAATATTTGTGGACTACCTGCTGTGCAAGTCCCTGTGCCTAAGCAGTAAACAAGACTTAGTCCACGAACTCTTTCCTCAAAGAGCTTATGTCTAATTGGGAAGATTAGAGGAAAAACAAATGGATAAATTCAAAACAGTGTAATAAGTACTATAGTATGATAGAGTAAGTACAGGGTGGTACATGGAGCTCTGGCGATCTGGCAGTATATAAAAGGGAGACCCAATCCAATCTAAGAAGGATTAGGGAAGGTATTCTGAAGTGATGGTTTCTAAGTTTAGACCTGAAGGACAAGTATGAGTTGGCTAAGTATGGAGAGGAGGAAAGACTTTAAAAAAAAACCTTTTAATTGTGGTGTCTATGATTACACATTCACTAAAGTTCACAAATCTTAAGTGTACGTTTTTTGTAACCACCACCGAGATCAAGATATAGAACATTTCTAGTATCCGTGAAGGCTCCCTTGTAACCATTCCAGGCCATTCTCACCTGCTGCCCCTAGATAACCATAATTTCAATTTCTGTTACCATTGATGGAGCCCTGGTGGTGCAGTGGCTAAGTGTTTGGCTGCTAACCAAAAGGCTGGCAGTTCAAATTCACCAGCTGCTCCTTGGAAACCCTATAGGACAGTTCTACTGTGTCCTGTTGGGTCACTATAGGTTGAAATAGACTCAATGGGAACCATTGATTGGTTTTGCCTATGCCTGCTAACATATGCACACTTGTTTCTGGCTTTCCTTTCTTTCAATATATGTCTGTAAGATTCATGTATGATGTTGTGTGAAATAATCTTGAACATGTCTTTTGATGGCCAAATGCATTATTCCTCTTGAATATATTCTTAGCAGAAATGGATATGCTAGGTCATAGGGTTGTTGTTAGGTGCCATCGAGTCGGTTCTGACTCATAGCAACCCTGTGTACATTATGCTTGAGCCCACTGTTGCAGCCACGGTGTCAGTCCATCTTGGTGAGAGTCTTCCTTTTTTTCACTGACCCTCCAGTTTACCAAGCATAATGTCCTTCTCCAGGGACTGGTCCTTCCTGAAAACATGTCTAAACTATGTGAGGTGAAGCCTCACCGTCCTTGCTTCTATTGAGCATTCTGGCTGTACTTCCTCCAAGACAGATTTGTTTGTTCTTCTGGCAGTCCGTGGTATATTCAATATTCTTCACCAACACCATAATTCAAAGGCATCGATTCTTCTTCGGTTTTCCTTATTCATTGTCCAGCTTTCACATGCATATGAGGCAATTGAAAACACCATGGCTTGGGTCAGGCACACCTTAGTCCTTAAAGTGACATCTTTGCTTTTGAACACTTTAAAGAGATTTTCTGCAGCAGATTCACCCAGTGCAGTGTATCATTTGATTTCTTGGCTGCTCCTTCCACTGGTGCTGATTGTGGATCCAAGTAAAATGAAATCCTTGACAACGTCAGTGTTTTCTCCATTTATCATGATGTTGCTTATTGGTCCAGTTGTGAGGATTTTTGTTTTCTTTATGTTGAGGTGTAATCCATACTGAAGGCTGTAGTCTTTGATCTTCATCAGTAAGTGCTTCAAGTCCTCTTCACTTTCAGCAAGCAAGGTTGTGTCATCTGCATACCACAGGTTGTTAATGAGTCTTCTAATCCTGATGTCCCATTCTTCTTCATATAGTCCAGCTTCTTGGATTATTTGCTCAGCATACAGATTGAATAAATATGGTGAAAGGATACAACCCTTTTGCATACCTTTCCTGACTTTAAACCACGTAGTATCCCCTTGTTCTGTTTGAACCACTGCCCCTTGGTCTAAGTACAGATTCCTCGTGAGCACAATTAAGTGTTCTGGAATTCCCATTCTTTGCAGTGCTATCCATAATTTATTATGATCCACGCAGTCGAATGCCTTTGTATAGTCAGTGAAACACAGGTAAACAAACATCTTTCTGGTATTCTCTGTAGGCCGAGAGAGGGGAATTTACTTGCCCAAAGTCATACAGCAAGTTCATAGCAAAGGAGAAACTGGCACTCATAACTTGGTCCAGTGTTCTTTCCATTATATTGGGTTGCCAGAATTAAGGGTAGCTGGTTATGGAAACAAGGCAACTGATTCTCTTATTTTAATTTAGAGTACAGGTGGTCCACCACTTACAACAGAGTTATGTTCTGATGACTACTCTGTCATAAGTTGGTTCTGACATGAGTCAAATACCTCTTTTTTTTTCAGTTTATTATTGCCTTTTATTATCAGTATCTTTATAAATCCAGTCTTTATTTGTTGGAAACATTGCATCTGAGAAAGATAACATCAGCAAATTACTCACTGAAACATTGTGTGTAGTACATGTTACTAACAATAAGATGTACAAAAAAAAAGTCGTTTAAGTGCAGTTCGTTGTAACTCGAATTCATTGTAAGCTGGGGGCTACCTGTATTTTCATATCAATAAATCATAGTAAAGGATTCCTGGTTGCACAGTGGTTAAGCATTCGGCTAACTGAAAGGTGGGAAGTTGGTACCTACCCAGTGGCTGCGTGAGAGACAAGACATGGCAGTCTGCTCCCGTAAAGGATTACAGCCTAGGAAACCCTAATGGAGCAGTTCCACTCTGTCATATAGGGTTGTCTGAGTTGGAATCCAGTCGACGGCACACAACAACAACAACAACAAAAAATGGTAACGGATGTCAGTATTAAGGAGGTATTTTATTATTCTGGGATTTTTTTTGGTATTTTGATTTATAACTCCAAATTTTTACCTCTGATGTATGTAACCTAAATGCTTACTTATGTTTCAGAATTATTGCTATGTTTCTCATTTTTCTTCTTTTTATTTCTCCAGTGCAGTTACAATTGGAACTGATATGCTGGAATTGGACTGCCATATTACAAAAGACGAACAAGTCGTAGTATCACATGATGAGAATCTAAAGCGATCAACTGGAGTCAATGTAAACATCTCTGATCTCAAGTACTGTGTAAGTAAAAATGTGTAATAAACAAGCTCTGGGCCTTTAAAACGTTTAAAAACAGTGAATGCCAGATGTTGCCTCAATAATAATAAAAAATAAGTGATAATGATTAAGTAATAAATGTCAAAGGAAATTTAAGAAAACTCTTCTGAGTTTCTAGTAAGGATTCATAGTATATACAAACACATCTATGGAGACTTGTTTTTATAAATATTTTTAATAAAATTACCAAATTCCTCAAGTATAAAACTACTGGAATTCAACTTGTCTGACCTAGAAAACTTAATGTTCTAACAGGATACTGTCTGTTTTTTATGTAGTTGTGCTCTCACTGTATATTATGTATATTGTGTTTTTTAAAACACTTTAATATTGTAGTATGAAAAGCATTTTTCATGCTTATTTTTCGTAAACATTTTGAAATGACTGCATATTGCTGAGTTGATATATTGTTATTTTTAACCATTCCTCTATTACTGACATTTGGATTGGCTCTGAGTTTTCACTATTATATACAACACCATACTGAGCATCTTTATATGTAAAAATAAAGCTTTCTCTATATTTAGATAACTTACATAAAGTTATTCTTATGAATACATATATAAAAAGATTTTTGTATTTATTAAAGGTATTTACATAAAAATAAGGTTTTCTCTGTATTTAAAAGTAATTCCCTAAACAGACTCTCAGAAGGGAAATTATTGGGTAAAAGGTTAATAATACTATAGTGTCTTAATATATGTTGCAAGTTGCTATCTTTAGCCTTGCTTTTTAAAAGAGTTCTAATATCTAATAGATGTTAGAAGAATTCTCATTTTGCTGTACCTCTACCATGACTGGGCATTATAATTACACCAAAAACTTGCTGATTTGCTAGATGAAATTTTAATATTATTTTCTTTGCATATTTTCTCTATGATAGTAATTTTTTTCTTTGGATTGTCTATTCTTGACATTTTGTTTACTAAAATCTTTGTGCAAAGAACAGAGTTCTTTTGCTTGTAGGTGATGGAAGTGAGTAACTGTAGGGAGTAATTTGCCACTGGGGAGGTTCTCCTAAAGTGTGCTCTATTTAAACATATATAGTGTTTTGTTCTTTTATGTTTTGAAGAAGCAAATCTTTGTTTTCTGTCTTAATGTAAGACACTAAAATACCTTTATTTTTTGAGAGCTAACTTTTTTTAAATCATATCTTTCAAAGGAGCTCCCACCTTACCTTGGCAAATTGGATGTCACATTTCAAAGAGGTAATATTTCCCATTTTCAGTTTAAACATTTACATTAAAGTGTTTATTTATGTTCAGAAGCAGATATACATGTGTGCTCTCTTGTCATAGTAAGTTCTGGATAAAAGTACCGCACTCAAAGCTTTTTCTCTCAGCCCTACAAATCTGAAAACTTGATAGTCATCTGACCCTGAGATGACCATGCCCAGAGATTTAACTGGCTTATTTGGTTATAGTCACATAAAGTTAATTCAAACCTGAGTGCTAATTATAATAAGAAAGCTGAATGTTATTAGGGATACTTTGAAGCTTCAAAATCCAGAATACTACTATAACTTGTAATAATCTTCTCTCATAAATATAAAAAAGAATAAATGAAAAGGAATTCGAACAACCCTTTTCAGATGCTTACTGATTCTGTAACATTTGATTCTCCGTCATTTAGCTGCTCCATATTTTAAATTTATAATTATATCACTCAAACAAACCATCCATTTCCTAGTCATCTTCACTTTTTAATCACCATTGTAGCGTTTTTTTTTCTTTTAAAGGAAGATTTCTCACAAAGATATATATTCCTTGCCCCAGTTAATTACTTATTGCAGGTTACAATAGAAAATACATCACCTTGAGATACAGGTGCTGAGCAAGTATATAGCAGATGTATTTGCATTACTATCACAAATCAACCTCGTATTATGAATAATTCAAAGGGATACCTCAATAAAAGTCTAAGATGCTACACATGTCATGGACTTTGGTACGGCTTGCAAATAGTTGAAATCTTAGTTAAATGTCAGGAATCTGTTATTACTAATTTTCAAAAAGAACTAACTGCTCAGTGAACTAAATTTAAAATTGGGCAGTGTAACCACTTTCGGAGAAGGACAGAACATCCAGAAAGAAGTTCAACAAAGACGCGGAAGAGCTTAATGCTACAGTCAACCAACTTGATCTCATAGACATATACCGAACACTCCAGCCAACAGCAGCCAAGTGTACTTTCTTTTCCAGCGCACATGGAACATTTTCCAGAATAGACCACATATTAGACCATAAAGCAAGCCTTAAGAAAATCCAAAGTATCAAAATATTACAAAGCATCTTTTCTGACTATAAAGCCATAAAACTAGAAACCAAAAACAGACAAAGCAAGGAAAAAAAATCAAACACGTGGAAACTGAACAACACCTTGCTCAAAAACTACTGGGTTATAGAATAAATTAAGGATAGAATAAACAAATTCATAGAATCAAATGAGAATGAAAACACATCCTACCCGAACCTTTGGGACAAAACAAAAGCAGTGCTCAGAGGTCAGTTCATAGCAGTAAATGCACACATCCAAAAAGAAGAAAGGGCCATATTCAAAATATTAACCCTACAACTGGAACAAGTAGAAAGAGAGCAGCAAAAGAAGCCCTCAGGTGCCAGGAGAAAGGAAATAATAAGAACTAAAGCAGAATTAAATGAAATAGAGAAGGGAAAAACAATCGAAAGAGTTACCAAGACCAAAAGCTGGTTCTTTGAAAAGATCAACAAAACTGATAAACCACTGGCCAAACTGACAAAAGAAAAACAGTAGAGGAAGCAAATAAAGAAGAAATGAGATGGGTGATATCACAACAGACCCAACTGAAATTAAAAGAATCATAACAGAATGCTATGAAAAATTGTACTCTAACAAATTTGAAAACCTAGAGGAAATGGACAGATTTCTAGAAACTCACTACCTACCTAAACTGACACAAACAGAGTTAGAACGACTAAATAAACCCAGAACAAAAGGAGAGATTGAAAAGGTAATTAAAGAACTCCCAACAAAAAAAAAGCCCTGGCCCAGATAGCTTCACTGGAGAATTCTACCAAACTTTGGGAGAAGAGTTAACACCACTACTACTAAAGGTATTTCAGAGCATAGAGAAGGATGGAATACTCTCAGACTCATTCTATGAAGCCAACATAACCTTGATAACAACACCAGGTACAGACACCAGAAAAAAGGAAGATTACAGACCAATATCCCTCATGAACATTGACGCAAAAATCCTCAACAAAATTCTAGCCAATAGAGTTCAGGAACGTATCAAAAAAATAATTCACCACGATCAAGTGGGATTTATACCAGGTATGCGGGGATGGTTCAACATTAGAAAAACAATGAATGTAATCCATCACATAAATAAAACAAAAGACAAGAACCACATGATCTTATCAATCGATGCAGAAGAGGCATTTGACAAAGTCCAACACCCATTCATGATAAAAAAAACTCTAAACAAAATCGAAATAGAAGGGAAATTCCTCAGTATAATTAAGGGCATTTATAC